TTCGTTATGAATAAAAGAGGGTAATTTTGGTTATAGTTTAGATAGATATAGAAATGTCAAGTAAATCTTATATATAATTAAGTATCTAGTTGTATCTGGTATCTCACAGCACACTCTCATTGGCTAAAGGCAATGACATTATTAGCTGCACCCTTTTTTTGATCCTATCAATCTGTGCAATATTCAATTTATTTTTCTTCCCTTTTCACTGCATTTTTTCACAAAATATTTCAGAAATCAAAACAAATAATAAAGGAAATAATAAAAAAAAAAACTATTTTCAATGAGTAAAGGTGAAGAGGTGGGGTTTAGCTTGGAAGTTGCCAACTAGGATTTTCATCAAAACAGAGTGGGGCTACCTATTTAAAAATACCTTGCAGCTATCATAGTGTCTTCTTGCCCAGTCAAGAATCACCGTTTCTATCATTCAGAGATTTTTAAAAATATATAATATTTACAACGCAGTGCTGCCGGTGTTGCCAACAGTGTTCAATGAATTATGACCCCGACTGTATGTATATAGAGTATGCTTACAGAGATCTAATAAATACTAGGAAATTTTATGGCCTCTTTCTTACATGTGTTATTCTACTATACATGTTATCACATTATACTTTTATGTACAAGCACCACGGAAACATTTGTATTACATTAATTACTATTACCTAAAGCAATGTCTATCAATTCTAAACCTTTCCTTATGGTAAAAGTGCAGTATTTTCAAATTATTGTGAATTTGCTGGCCAAACCTTACCCTGTGGTAAAATGTCCCTTTTCTCAAAATCATTTATTGTTTGTCATGTTTAGTCAATAGATGCTCTAAGACAGTTCTAACTTGTTTTCACGATAACAAGTTTTGTCTTTAGGAAGTTAATACTATTGGGATACTACTTTAGTGAACCCATGCATTGCGAATCACTGGAATGATTGAACGACCGTTAATTCAGCCAAAGGAAGGTGATTTAGAATATTTTTCTCTCCAGAGAGTCCTGTTCTTCAAGTGTGAGTTTTGTATGCAGCGTTTTTTTTTTTTTTATTCTATTTTATTTTTAAGATACTGTTAGTATAATGGAATCCTTTGACCGTTGGTCTGACTGGAAATACCAGTATGTTTATTGAACACATCACAAAGGCTGTAATCTTATTCAAATCAAATGTGTCATTCTTGTGCAAATTTTCTCCTAGCATGTCAGGAATCCATACGGGTGGAAGTAGCAAATATACACAGACAGAGCATATGAACACGCTCGCTCAGTCACTCACACAAACGCACATACACACACACACACGTGTGTATATGGATAATGTGTGACAAGAAATAAACCAAATATTTTGATTTTTTATTTCAGATTTAACAAGAACCATAATAACGGTATAACAAGCCATAAATATGTCAAAGTCAACTATCAATAATAAATTAACAAATACATAACACGGATGCTCTAGGCAAAACAACTAAACACATCCAAAAAATGCCTGCTCTTAAAATAGGTACGGGTTACATAAAGGCGAGAACAAGCTTGTCACCGGGTTGTCTAACATCACAAATTATTACAGATTTTTAAAAGAACTTTTTTAAGTGATCCATCATGGAAGATAATTGGAAAGTAATACAGTCCCAAGTGACTAACATGACAATCTATGTGATGCTGTTGTTACGCGTCTAGAGGCAGCGCCATCTGTTGCACGGATCGCGCACATCTAGACGGTATCTTTCCAGCTTCACAGTGATGATCATCGCAAAAAAGTAGTTTAGATTTTGAGTCTTGTTCTGTAGAATACCAGTTGCAACTGGCTTGGATGTATATATGTATGCATATACATACATATATACATACATACACAAGTACATATATATATATATATATATATATATATATATATATATATATATTATATATATATATATATATATATATATATATATATATATATATATATATATATATATATATATATATATATATATGTTATATATATATATATATATATATATATATATATATATATATATATATATATATAATATATATATATATATATATATATATATATATATATATATATATATATATATATATATATATATATATATATACATATACATACATATATATATACATATATATACACATACGTGCACATCAACACAGCTAGAGGAATAATAAATAGAAGAGTTCCGTCAGCGTCGGCGCCGCGAGAGGCACAGGCTGTCTGGTCGTCAGGCCCTTAGTTCATCTGCTGACGGATCCAGTCCCTGTAGTAGGCCACGCGGGTGTAGACGCCGGGCAGGGACGCCTCGGTGCAGGTCCCGGAGCCGAAGGACACGACGCCCACCTGCACCCACTTGCCGGAGCCTTGGGGGACTCCACGATGCTGGGGCCGCCGCTGTCGCCCTGCGGGGGGGAGATGGGGGCGTTAGGGGGGGGGGGAGGGCGCGGAAGGGAAGAGCCAAACAGCAAATAAACGGACGGAAAAAGCAGCAAATGATACAAACAAAAGTATTTAAACTGGCATTAACTGGAAACAAACGAAACAGCCAAAGAAATTACACAAGAGGAAACCAAAACAAACGAAGCAAACGAAAGTAAACAGAGCAAAAACAAAAACAAAAAAAGAGAGAGAAACCACCGCTCACATTGCACGAGTCGCCGTTGGTGGCGTCCATGCACATCATCGAGTCCACAATGAGACCTCTGGCGGCGCCGTTGCGGTTCCAGCTGTCGTCGCACTTGCTGTTGGCGACGACGCGGGCCGACAGGTGGTGCAGCTGCTTCTGGAGCTGGAAGTCCTCGTCGCGGCCCCACCCGCTCACCGTAGCCAGCTGGTCCTGGACGTTCATATCTAAGAGAAGATGGGCGGGATTGAGGCGTCGGGGCGATGGTCAGGTGTACGTGGATGTAGATGGTCGTGTACGTGGATGTAGGTGGTTAAGTGTACGTGGATGTAGGTGGTTAAGTGTACGTAGATGTAGGTGGTTAAGTGTACGTAAATGTTGATGGTTAAGTTTACGTAGACGTAGATGGTCAAGTGTACGTAGATGTAGATGGTTAATTGTATGTAGACGTAGATGATCAATGTATGTAGATGTAAATGATTGTGTACATAGATGTAGGCGGTTGTGTACATAGATGTAAATGATTAAGTACACATAGATGTAGATGGTTGTGTACGTAGATGTAAATGATTAAGTGTACGTAGATGTAGATGGTTAAGTATGCGTAGATGTAGATAGTCAAGTGTCCGTAGACGTAGATAGTCAAGTGTACGTAGACGTAGATGGTCAAGTGTACGTAGATGTAGATGAGCGAGTGCACGTAGACGTAAATGATCAAATGTATGTAGATGTAGATGGTCAAATGTACGTAGATGTAGATGTAGATGGTCAAGTGTACGTAGATGTAGATGTAGATGGTCAAGTGTACGTAGATGTACGTAGAGTGTACGTAGATGGTCAAGTGTACGTAGATGTAGATGTAGATGGTCAAGTGTACGTAGAGTAGATGTGTCAAGTGTACGTAGCGGGAGTGTGTGCAAGGTCTGTGTAAGTACTTCTATGGCACTTAAATCTGTACTTATATAGACCATGGGCGTATGTAGCTGATGCGTGGGTGGAATGGGGGGGGGGGGGCGGTGATTTTGTGTAGGGGAGTCGCGTTGGTGAATAAAGAGAGAATGTAGGTTTATGGTTGAAAAAGTGCTGGCGAGAAGTTGTGATCTGTTCCGCAGTCAAATCCTTCTCTTTCTCTCTTCTGGTACTATCCTTCCCCGCTTTTCTCTCTCTTTCTTTCTCTTCTCTCTCTCTCTCTCTCTCTCTCTCTCTCTCTCTTCTCTCTCTCTCCTCTCTCTCTCTCTCTCTCTCTCTCTCTCTCTCGCTCCCTCTCCTCTTCCATCCCTCCTCCCTCATCCTCCCCTCATCCCTCCCATCCTCCCATCTTCCTCCTCCACCCTCCTCCCTCTCCTCCCTCTCCCTCCTCCCTCCCTCCCTCCTCCTCCCTCCCCCCTCCCCTCCCTCCTCCCTCCCATCCTCCCATCCCTCCCACCTCCCTCCCTCCATCCTCCCACCCTCCCTCCTCCCCCCCTCCCTCCTCCCTCTCCTCCCTCCCCCTCCCTCCCTCCTCCCATCCTCCCCCCCCTTCCCATCTCCCTCCTTCCATCCTCCCCATCCCTCTCCTCACCTGAAGTAGGCAAACAGATGGGCCGAATCCTCTCATTATAATTGAGCCTCGAACTGAGTCTGAGGACGGCGATGTCGTTCTGGAGGGCGGGCTTCGAGTACAAGGGGTGCACGTTCACCCTCGAGACGGAGGCGGTGATACTCGGGCCATCGTTCACAGTCCCCAAGTCCCAGTCTCCGATGAACAGCTTGATGGCCTGGGGCGTGTTCTCGTAGCTGTGGGGGGAAGGGGGGTGTTAAGGGGGGTTAAAAGGGGTTTGGTGGGGGGATTGGTTTGTTTTGCAGTTGGATGGTACTCTATGTATCTGTTTGACTGTCTGTCTGTCTATAATTATCTTTTTTTATCTATCTCTATCTATATGTATGTATGTCTATCTATCTCTGTCACTGTTCTATCTATTTACATAAATCTATTTCTCTTTATCTCTGCCTCTTCCCGTATCTACACACGCTCCCTCACCTCTTGACGCAGTGAGCCGCCGTCAGGACCCAGTACTCTCCGATGACACTTCCTCCACAGTGGAACCTTCCGTTGACCTCCATAGCGACCTGCCACGGGAACTCCCTCAGCCCGGAGACCTGGCCGAAGGTGATGCGGTACGAGAAGGCGCTCGGTTCTCCCGCGTCTGGGGGTTGTGGAAGGGGCATTAAGGAGGGGAACTAAGGGGGGATCGGGTTTGGGTTTGGTTTGATCAGTGTCTGCAGTGATTGTCATACAGGGGAAGTATGAAAGGGGGTCCGTTGCTATGAGATATCACGTTTGGTTTGATCAAAATCTAAGTGATCTGTCAAGTGTGTATATTGTTGCTAGTTGGAAGTTGCATTGACATCCTGAGGTCTCCATTATTTGTCAGGCTGGATTGAACATGCTCTGAAAGCAGTGCTATCCACGTCGTCATCGCCGATTTTAGAAATGAATGCATGTTAGACTTTCTCTTTTTTTCTTTCGTTTTTCCTGCATTTTTTTTTTTTTCTGACAAGACGAGAGGCTCAGCCAGCTCTGGACCCCCGGCTGTCGTCCAGATACTCACAGTGGGCAAAGAGCGTGTCGTTGAGGACCGGGACGCCCCAGTCATTGTTGTCGATGATGTTCGAGGGCCTTGTCCCGGACACCTGGCCCCGGCGGTCGGTCTTGGTGTCTGTGCTGCCGGGGCGTCTCAATGGGCGGCGTCGGTCGGGGTTCTTGCGGCGGCGGGGTCCCTTCACCGAGTAGTCCGGGAGGCGTCTTCCCGCGGGCTGTGGCGCAGGAGGAGGAGGAAGTTAATACGAAAGTCCCTCTTCCTGCAGGGGGAGAAGAGGCTCTCCTCCTCTGCCCCGCTTCTACTCAAGACATCCTAACCGACTTCTGACCAACTCTCAGAGTCTAAGACCGTCTTTTTACTCTGACAAAAGTCGGTTGTCCGCGTAAACTTTCTTGTGGTAGCATAAAATGAGGCCTAAACTCCTCCTCGAACATTATTCTGATCATCCGAATTGAGAAACACTGCTAGGAGGGGGGGGGGGGGGCCTGACGGGCCTGCTGAACGAAGCTCCCCTGGAGGAGGAGGCACGGCCGGGCGGGGGGAACCTCGGCAGAACACTGCGGAGAAATGGGCGGTGAGAAGAGGCCTTCCTTGAGGGCGCTGCTTACCTTTGTTTGTTTTTCTTTCTTGTACTTTTCTTTTCTGGTACTGTGTTGCATTGCAATACTGTATATACCGTAAAACATTTTAATGGAAAGTTAGATAACAGAAGAGAAAGGAAAACCCAAAAAAAAAGGGAGGCTTTTTTTTAAAAGAGAGAGGGAGAAGAAAAGGAAAGAAACAGAGAAAAGGTAATACATATAGAACTCATAGCGAGAAGAAAGAGATAGAGGAAGAAAAAACAATTAAAAAAAATAAACATAGAACCCACAGCAACAAGAGAGAGAGAGAGAGAGAGAGAGAGAGAGAGAGAGAGAGAGAGAGAGAAGAGAGAAGAAAGAAAGAAATAACAACAAAGAAAAAAAAATGAAAAACCGCAAAAAAAAAGACAACAACAACGTTGAACACCCCTTAGCCCCGCCCACACTCACCAGGGGGCGTGACGACGAGAGATCCTCCTCCTCCTCCTACTCCTCCGCTGCTCCCGAAGTCCTCTCCCACAAAGTCCTTGCACAGAACCTGCGTCACCTTCATCTTCCAGAGAGTGTTGCGGTTCCGAGAGGAGTTGACGTGAATGAAAACCCTCTCCAGGTTCTCGGTCTTGTAGGAGTCTTTGGGGAGAGAAATGACGGAATGTAGATTAGTGGAGGGCGAAGGTGATGATGATGGTGAATGTGATGGTGGTGGTGGTGGTGATGATGGTGGTGGTGTGTGGTGATGATGGTGGTGATGAATGTGATGGTGGTGGTGGTGATGGTGATGGATGATGGTGGTGGTGGTGGTGATGAATGTGAGGTGTGGTGGTGATGATGTGATGGTGGTGGTGATGATGGTGATGAATGTGATGGTGGTGGTGGTGATAATAATGGTGATTGGGTCTGATGGATGGTTCAGATGGTGGTGGTGGCGATAGTACCAACAACAGCAACAACACCACAGCCAGCCAAGGATCTACTTACACGAGCTCCCGGTGAGTCGGCCGCACTTCGGAGGCAGTTGGTCGCCATGAATTCCTGTCACGCTGAAGAAGGTTCCGTCACACTCCCCGGTGTGAGTCTGAGGGAAGTCCGCCTCTTCCATCTCCACCCTGGAGTAAAAAGGAGGTTTTATGGTGCCATGAGAGACGGGGAGGTTGAATAGGTGATTATGTTTTTTTTTTTTTTTTTTTTTTTTTTTTTTTGTGTTTGTGTGTGTGTGTGTGTGTGTGTGTGTGTGTGTGTGTGTGTGTGTGTGTGTGTGTGTGTGTGTGTGTGTGTGTGTGTGTCTTGGTGTTTGTAATTGTGGTATTTTTGTTTATCTTCGTCATCTTTTCATTTTCTTGTTCTTATTTTTTTATCATTTGTTCTCATTCAGTTTCTTTTCTCTTATTTTCGTTCTTGACTTGACCATATGCTGATTTCTTCTCTAAAATCCCTTTTTACGTTTAGATGTCTTGTTTTTTCAGATTTTCACATACTTTAACACCAAAGTGACCTGTCGTAATATAATACCACAATAACTTATTGCATTACAACACTACAGCATCTTATCCTATTTCCATACCGGTGACCAATAACACACTGACATCACAATATCCCAGTATCATTTATTCCAAAATGAGGATGACATTAGCGACACAGTATCTTATTTCAATTACAATATCTTATCATACTCCAGTACCAAAGTGACATCTAATACCACAATATCTCATCATATTCTAATACGAAAGTGACGTCATCTAATACCACAATATCTCACCATATTCCAATACGGAAGTGACGTCATCGCCATAGCAACTTACTTGAGTCCGCAGTAGTCATTGGATCGGGTCACGACCTCGAAGGAGCAGGCCTCGGGTGGTCTGTCCTCCAGCGGGTACTGGACGTTCTTGAAGTAGGACACTTCTTGGGACGTCTTCTGGCCACACGTGCGGTGGACTGTGGCGTGGCAGAGAAACTTCAAGTTAGTATTAGTAATGTGTAATATTTTGTATGATGTATTGAGTCTTGTGAAAAGGAAAACAAGCGCAGTTTCTTAAAATTAGGAACCACATAGAACGTCTTCTGGTGGTGGTGGACTGTGGCGTGGCAGAGAAACCAAGTTAGTATTAGTAATGTGTGTCATGTGTTGTGTATTGTGTAAAGGAAAAGAATCGGTTTCTTAAAATTAGGAACCACATGGAACGTCTTCTGGTGGTGGTGGACTGTTGCGTGGCAGAGAAACTTCAAGTTAGTATTAGTATGTGTAATATTTTGTGTCATGTGTTGTGTATTGTGTAAAGGAAAAGAATCGGTTTCTTAAGATTAGAACACAGGAACGTCTTCTGGTCACAAGTACAGTGGCTGTTGCGTGGGAGAGAAACTTAAGTTAGTATTAGTAATGTGTGTCATGTATTGTGTATTGTGAAAAGAAAAACAAGCGCAGTTTCTTAGAATTAGACACGACAGGGAACGTCTTCTGGTCACAAGTACAGTGGCCCGTTGCGTTGGAGAGAAACTTCTAGTTAGTATTAGTAATGTGTGTCATGTATGTGTGGTATCATGTATTGTGTGTTGTGAAAAGGAAAACAAGTGCAGTTTCTTAAAGTTAGGAACCACATGGAACGTCTTCTAGTCACAAAAACAGTGGACTGTTGCGTGGGAAAGGAACAGTGTGTATTGTGTATTGTGTATTGCGTAATGTTTATTGTGAAGAGGGAAACGGCCACAAATTCTTAAAATAGGACACGGATTCGATTTTTTTAAACCATAAGCATAGTGAACTGCTTCATGGGAAAAAAAAAACTTGATTTGTAACAGTATTGTGCATTGTGAAAAGAGGGAAAAAAATCTTTAAGAAATGAAATGAAATCGCCACGAATTCATTGCATTTTTTTCCATATTGTGACTGTTTTCCTCTTTCATTTTTGTCCACGTTACTGTGTTTGTGTTCGTGTCCATTGTCTTTTCCGTTTGTAAATTGGTCTGTTGTAATTTAGGGATGTGTCAGTTTTATATTGGATTAGTTGTATTTGTGATTATTGTGGGAATCTTGATTAGTACGGTATCATCAATATATTTGTGGGTTGGTTTGTTGTCCTTTCCTTGTTAATTATGGTTATGTCAGTGATGTGTTGAAAAATATTGCTTGTAACTGTAGTCATTATCGCTGTCAATTATTGATGTAGATGAATGGTGCATATGAATGAACGGCTGTAAAAGTTGTTAATTGCAGACATTCTGGTAGTTATAAATGTCTAATTAAAATCGCTGCCTCGGCTTAATTTTCAGCATATTTTTGTATTCGATTTGCATTGCAATCATTATTGTTCATATCATTATTTGTTTTTTTTTTTTTTTTTTTTTTTCTATTCTAGTCACTTTTTTCGTGAGGTTCTGCCGTAAACAGTGTGTGCAGAGAAGTGCGCAACATTTGATAAAGTTAGGGATACTTAATAATGAGAAAAAAAGGGAAACGGAGGAAGAGAGAAGAGAGAGAGAGAGAGAGAGAGAGAGAGAGAGAGAGAAGAGAGAGAGAGAGAGAGAGAGAGAGAGAGAGAGAGAGAAGAGAGAGAGACAGAGAGAGAGCAGAGAGAGAGAGAGAGAGAGAGAGAGAGAGAGAGAGAGAGGTAGAGAGAGAGAGAGAGAGAGAGAGAGAGAGAGAGAGAGAGAGGAGAGAGAGAGAGAGAGAGAGAGAGAGAGAGAGAGAGAGAGAGAGAGAGAGAGAGAGAGAGAGAGGATCAACCTGACTGCATGTCAAACGCGACGTGTCAGTCCCTCCATGTTGTGTCAACCAGTTGTCAAGGAGGAGGGGGGGGGGAGAAGGAGAGTGAGGTGGGGGGTCCTCCTTCCTCAGACAGGGAGAGGAAGGCTAGTGAAACCCACTCTCCAGGATGCTGGGCGGGTGGGTGCGTGGGCAGGGTGGGTTGGTGGGTGAAAGAGATTTTGAGGATTGGCGTCGGCCAGTTTTACCCTGTGACCGGCTAGTGGGAGGGGTGAGGGGGGGGGAGGGAGGGGGGGTGGGTTTTTGTGGGTGTGGGGGGGGGCAACAAAGGGGTGGAAGTTGGTAGTGCAGGAAGTTGTAGCCAGAGTTCATGGGACTGGTTGACGAAAGGGTTAACAAAAAATAATTTGGCCTTCTGGTTAAATTAAATCTGGTAAGAAATTTCGTTCGACTGTAGGGATATCTTCCTCGACTTTTTTTTAATCTATATTTTGATTATTTTGTTCCATTTTATTTCTTTTTAGAGCAGTGAAACTACCGATTATCGACACGGAGACTTTCCCCGCTTGGAATGTGCAATTATCTGCAATTATGCAATTACGTTTCATGCGATTAATCTCTCGCAAAGGTTCCCGCAAGCTTTCCTTCCGCGGCCTCGGTCAGTGAACACTCAAAACACCGACCCCTTTCTGCCCCCCCCCTCCTCTCTCGCTAATCCCATGCTCACCGACCCCAAAACTCGTTATTACAGCAAGATCCTCTATTGCCCAGAGCTTGTTTACTGTCGCGCAAATCACTCTGCGGTGTGCAATTTGGTGCAATAAAATAGCGACAAGCGACAAGCGAGCCTCGAGGGAGGAGGATCAGGCCGAGCGCGAAACGAGGTCGAGTCCGGTGAAGGACGTCGACGACCCGTTTTCTTTTCTCGTCCCGTTTTCTATTTCTCGGCCAGGTTCTCCTCAGGGGGGACTCGCCGAGACTGGAATTTAGAGTGCGGATGGAGAAAAGAGAGATAAACCAGTAAGGGAGAACATGTACACATACTCGCGTTAAAAGATTTGCGGATAGACATACAGATAGATAGACAGAGACGTCTCAAGAAGCACAACACTCCCAAATCAGATTATGTTGACGAATTCCCTGCCTATCTTCACAGCCGAAACGTATCCCCACCTGACTTATTAACGAAAAAAGAGACACTTTTCGGAAGGGATCTACAGCGTCTATGCGTCGAAGAGCGAAAGCCTCTGGCATAGGATCCAAGGAGCTAGTTTCTCCTGCCAATTATGCCGATCTGGCGTGAACCTCTTCCTGGTTAAACGGGCCTCGAGTCACTCCAGCTCCCGCGAGTAGCCAGCGCCCGAAGTACTGGTCAGTGTTAGCACGAGAAAGAGGAGAGAAACTTATTATAATTTCTTCATCTCGGTTGCATTTTTAAGGACCTGCAACACGGGGCGCGATCTCTCACCAAACCTGTTGTCTTGGTCGTTTGCCCGTTCGAGGTCGCTCTTGCTAACAGCCTCTTCGTGGGTGTGGGGGTGTGTGGGGGGGCGGGGGAGGTCTGTGATCTATTTGCGTAAGTAATCGAGTTGCAACATTCAAATGACTCTTTTTCGACGCGAACCTCAATAGGATTTGCGAGGCTTAGTGATCAGTGCTCGTGGCGCCGCGCTGAGTGGATGATTTGATGTTAGTCTACCCAGTGATTATCTTTCCTTTTTTGGTTGCTCTTTCATTTTGTTTCTCGCGGATTATCGACGGATTATCGACGTTTTTTTTTTGTCCCCTGAGTAATAATCAAATCAAACCTACCCTCGTTATAAAGGCACGCCGCTCTGGACCCAAGCAACTGCAGAATAACAAATGTTGCAACAACACGCACAGAAAACTCGTCCTCATTATTGCATTCTTTTATAAGCCGCCTCCACCGGACGGGAAGGGAGGCAGTGAGAAATGAGAATAAAAACCAGTGGATGCAAAAGAAAGAGAGAAAGACGGGTTTGGGTCGAGGAAGGCGGAGTAGAAGGGCGCGGGAAGTGCAGGCGAGGAAGGGAGAAAATGCCTAATGTCTTCTGCATTGTGTTCGCGACGTCTGGGAAAGCAAGATTGCATTTACGAGTCATTAGGGCGGCGGTCTCATTCAAAGGAAGGAATTTATGGTCACTTCGTAGAAAGCTCTGCACTAGATTGGTCTCTGCAGAGTGCTTGTGGTAAAACTGGTCTCTCGAAGTAAGTGTTCGTGTGTCTCGTCTTTTTAATAAAAGATCTTTCATGTGTGTGTGTTTTTTTTTTTTCATTTGTGCGATCTTAACACTAGAGAATAAAACTGGTCCTTACATGTAAATATTACAATTTGAGATAGTTAGCATACATGGTTTATGTATATACATATATAATTTACATGCACATGCACAGATAAAGAATATATAAAACACAACCTAAATTTATCTAATTGAAGCTGAACCAATATGAAAGTGTAATCAAGAAAACATTACGGAAATAAACGTAAAATTTAAAAATAGATATTTAAAAACCGTTTTTAGATATGAAATTATATTTACGAAAATGATAATCCTCTGAGTACCTATATCCTTAAAAAGAAGACCCTATGAAAAAAAAAAAAAAAAAAAAAATAAAAAGTAAATATTTTCAAACACAACATAGAAAAAAACGATTAATACCACCACCTCCCAAACACAGAAAACAGAAAAACAAAACAAAACAAAATGGCACCGAGCGAGACCCAACCCGAGTGCCATCCCACTCACACAGGCAGCACAATCCGGTGAGACCCGAGCAGAAGTTGCCATACTGACCGGCCAGAGCAAGACACTCCACCTCACCGTAGCAAACCCCTTCATTGCCACCGTAGTCACATCTGGGGTTCCCGAGAATACTGAAGGGGTTCAGCAACACTGGGGGCAGAGGAGGTCGACGAGGAGGGCGGTCAGATAGGGGTGCCAAGGGGAAGAGGGAGAAGAGGATAAGATAGGAAGGAGAGGAGGAAGAGAGGAATGAGG